CCAATTTAAAAATGGGGTACAGATCCAAAAACAGTTCTCAAAAGAAGAAAGCCAAATGGCTGAGAAACAAATAAATGTTCAACATGCTTAGTTATCAGAGAAATGCAAATCAAAACTACTTTAAGATGTCATCGTACACCCTTTAGAAATGCTAAGATCAACAAATCAAGTGAAAGCTCATTCTGGTAATGATGTGGAATAAGAGGAACACTCCTCCATTGCTGTTGGTTCTGCAACTTGTACAGTAACTGTGGAAATCAGGGTGGTGGTTCCTCAGGAAGTTGTGAATTGATTTACCTCAAAATCCAGCCATATCACTCTAGGGCATATGCCCAAAGGATGCTTCATCCTACCACAAAGGCACTTGCTCAGCCATGTTCATTGCTGCTCTGTTCATAATAGGCAGAAATTGGAAACAATCTAGATGTCTCTCAACAGAAGAATGGATAAAGAAAATGTGGTACATTTTACTCAGCCATTTAAAAATGAAATTAACAGGTAAATGGGTAGAACTAGAAAAAAAATCAACCTGAGTGAGGATTTCAGACCCAGTAAAAGAAATATGGTGTGTATTCACATATATGCAAATATTAACTGTTTAATCAATGATGTTCAAGCTGCAATCTATAGAACACAGAGGGTGTGTATCACGTAAGGGTCTTTAGGGATCAGATGGATCTCATTATGAAAGGCAAATAGAATAGTCATGGATGGACTGGAATGGGAGGATCAAGTGAGAAGCAGTGAGGGAGATGAGGGAGGGAACATGGGAAGAGACAACTAAAATTAAGAGCCATATGAGGGTTAGTATGGTAACCTAATGCAGTAGAAACTTCCTAAAATATATGTGTGTGTGTGTGTGTGTGTGTGTGTGTGTGTGTGTGTGTGTGTGTGTGTGATGAAATAAACAAATAATGGGGGAGGCAGAGACCCAACTGGCCATCTTTTGTCACCAAATGAAGCTTGCCAAGAATATAGGTTGCTCTCCACAAACTGGCAGTAAGGTGCCATTCCTAAACACCTACACAACTCATTGAACATGAAGAAGTCAAGCTGGTGCCTACATAGGGCCTTCTACCCTATGTTCCAGCATCTTTGGTACAGGAAAGTACTCTGAGGACTACAAGACCAGAAATGTAAACACCAAACTAGCCACAAACCATTTGGTCTACAATGGTGTCCTGCTCACAAGATATGCTAAAGCAATGGTGACACAAAGCTTGTGTGGGTGTGGGGGAGATAACTCCTTCAACATTGTGGGTCTTGGGAATTGAATTTGGGTCAGCAGACTCAGCATCGGGTACTTTGCCCACTGAACTATCTCACTGAGTCATTTCTGACATTTTTAATGACTTACTTCAAACATATATATGTGTGTGTGTTCCTTTCTACACATATATTTTAATATATCCAATTTTCAAATATCTTAAGTAGATGGCTTAATAGTAGCATGATTTTGAGAATGTATGCATTATATAGTTGCTAAGTTTTCTTTTTAACATATCTTGTGTATTTTGTGATGAGTTTTCAGTCTAATTTTAATTAAAATTTGATTTTTATATTCTTCTATACCTTTACTTTATGCGCCTTGTGAGGATTAATCTTGATAACTTTATTCAGAAGCAACTGAGAGATTAGTACTGTGCACTGGGTATTCTGTGAAAGCGTTTCCAGAAGAGATTAAGTATGGGGACTTCATCTTTTAGGTGATACCATCCCATCACATAGGCTTGCAATGAAAATGGAATAAGGAGGGAGAAGGGAGAAAGATAGTGGAGTCCAGGCTCAAGCTCCCACTCTGTTTCTGTGGAACAGTCAGTGGTATTTCCCTCCAACCCCCCCTCTTCTCTCCTTCCTGACTTTTGGTACCAGTTTTTGAGAGGAACATTTATAAGTTGGTGATACGAGCTAGAGAAAATGTAAAACACTGTAAAGTGAGTATAATCTGTGGCAGAAGTGGGTTCCTAGATCAGGGTGCTTATATACATAGAGTCAGTGAAGACTATGCTTTTGAGGCTTTAGATAACAACAAGCACTGTATTGGGAACTAGACTAGAGGACATTCAGTCTGGCAAAGAAGTTATGTGCATTTGTGGAAGACTGGGTTAAAAGACAATGGGCTAATATGGTAGAGAAAATTTAATGGTATCCCAGCATTGAGCTTTGGAAAAGTTGGACAAACTTGCTGTTTGCCTAGAAGAGAGGCCTATTGAAGCTAAGGGAATTGTGGCTGCTTTAAGGATTAAGACTATTAAATGAACTCAAGTACTTTGCATCTTGGCAATAAGAAAGATGTCTTGAGGGAATCTGAGAAATTGGCCAGACCCCACCCATTTCCACATCAAGAATGCAAAGGATTTTTTAGTACTGTTTTGAAGAGAGAATTGGTAGAACAGGGCTCACCTGTGGAAGTATTCCCGGAGTTCAGCTACTCAGGCACAAAGATTTGTTTTGGAGGCTGTTGGGGCCATAATAAGTCTTTCTCCAAGTTGTTCTGCACATGTGCTCTGCCTTAGTGACCAAGGTCTAACCATACTCCATTTCCTTCTAAAACAGTCTTGGTTGCTCCCTGCTGGCACTCCAGCTTTCAGCACACTCCTAGATGTCAGGATGAGGACTCTGGGTCACTGCCACACTCTGGATTTTTGATTCCTGCTTAGTATTCGAAAGGTCAGTAAGTCAATGGCTTCAGTTCTGCTCATCAGTTTTGTAAAGTTTCTGGTATAATGAGGGTTTTTTTTCATTATATTTGAGATTTATTGTCGTGTGTGCTATATCTCTTTCTCTGTAACTTTATTCCTTATATATTTTAAGCAAACAAGGGGTTTACCAACTATGTGAAAGCACTCTGCCAATTTGGGCTGGCTACTATATATGTAGACATTTAATATATGTAGGCTGTTGTGAATTGCCCTCTTGAGAATGACAAAAAGCAGATGGTGTGGTGTGATCTATGTACTAGACCTAAGAGCCCCACACTTCTCTATGTACTCACTATATTTTTTTTTACATGTCATTTAGTACCTATTACAAAATAAACTCTTGCACTGGGCTACATGAAATTTGCCCCTGGTGTTAGTCATCTAGATAAGCTTTTCATTTGATTTAATTTTGGTTTTATTTCACAGAATCTCCTTTGCTTATCCATAAAGGTGACATCATACCTTTTAAAAAGAGGCAATAACATAAAGGAGTTACTAGCCTTCGGCCTGTCTTATAACTGAAAAGGCATTACAAATAAGTTAGTCCATAATTTCAGGACTTTCAAAGTGTTGGAATAAAATAAATCAAAATTTTTGTCTGAGGCTTTTGAACTCATAATGCAGAGTTCAAAGAACCTTCAAAATTAAACATCAAAATCAGTTCTCAAGAATGTCAAAATGTTCTCATATAGTCCTTTAAAAAAACATTCATGATTAGGAGCCTATATTTCAGACTGGAGAGATGGCTCAGTGGTTAAAAACACGTGCTGCTCTTTCAGAGGACCCAAATTTGCTTCCCAGCATCCCTGTAGAGAAGTTTATAGCCACCTGCAACTACAGTTCCAGGGGCTCCAACAGCTTCTTCTAGCCTCCACAGGCACCTACACACATGTGCACTTACATGCATACACACACGTACACAGAAATAAGTAATAAAATGAATTTTTAAAATATTTTTAAAGTATACATTTTTCTTTTCAAGAGAATAACATAAATGAGATCTTATATTTATGGAACTTCATATGTCAAACATTAAAATTAGGTATTGACATACACTATAAATTAACTTACATTATTTCATTTGATATCAGTGACCATTTAGGGTAAGTTTTCTTTCTTTTTTTCTTGTTTTTTTTGTCATTGTTGTTTTTTGAGACAGGGTTTTTCTTTGCAGCCCTGGCTGTCCTCAACTTGTTTTATAAACCAGGCTGGCCTCGAACTCACAGATCTGCCTGCCTCTGCCTCCTGAGTGCTGGGATTAAAGGTGTGCATCACCACTACCCAGCAGGGTGAATTTCTTATTATGCTTCTTTCATAGATGAGGAAATTTAGTATGGCATGGCAGAGATAAGTTGATGAATACAAGGACAATAATTTATTCTCAATGCCTACTACAATTTGTTACATCCATGGCTTCAAACATAACTATAATATGTTAAAAATTGATTCTGTTTTGCATTTTTTTCATTTGCTTATTTATTTATTTTTATGTGGGGGAGAGATGTTCAGAGCACATGACAACTTCACAGAGTCAATTCTTTCCTTCCATCATGTAAATCTCAGGGATCAGACTAACGTCATTGAGCATAAAGGCTCGTGTCTTTACCAACTGAGCCATCTCACCAGCCCCAAATGCTGTCAATTTTGATATATGGGTATTAACTTCAATCTGATTACTAGAAAGAGAAACCAATGAAAATAATAAATTTTTGTACAAGCTATTTTGTGTCCAGTGGTTTTTGTACACTGAGGGCAACTTGTTACTCTTTGGGTCTCCCTTACTACTTAACATTATTTGCATTTGAATAGCTCATAAACCAGATGTTTGAACTATTTTAAATCACTTTTTTCTTGGCCATCTAAACATTGGTTATCAATTTGATGAACTGACTATACTAAAAGCTCTAAACTGTAATTGCAATTTAATGTGGTTTTTTTGGAAACAAGTTAAACCAATTGAGTAGCATATTAAGTCTACACAAATACAACAATTAAAAATACATCATATAAGCCGGGCGTTGGTGGCGCATGCCTTTAATCCCAGCACTCAGGAGGCAGAGGCAGGCGGATCTCTGTGAGTTTGAGACCAGCCTGGTCTACAGAGCGAGTTCCAGGACAGCCTCCAAAGCCACAGAGAAACCCTGTCTCGAAAAACCAAAAAAAAAAAAAACACATCATATACTTCCTCTTAGCCTATTATAAGGTAAAAAGACAGGTTAATTTACTGCTCCCTATTCCTGCCCTTGTACTTTTCCTCCTTCGTTTAATGTTATACTTGTTTTATTTTTATGTCTTTTCAGGATTTTACTACTTTTGAATTGGATTAACTTTATCCAACTACATAGAAGACACATCCCAGACTTCCCAAGGTAAAAGAATAAGACTGATTTTCCGGGTTCACAAATATTGAACTGCGTGTGGTGGGGTGGGAATCTTTTAATACAGCATTTCATTTGTTATTTCTTAGAGCTGTTTCTTTGTAACTTGTTTTTATCAAAACTGAAACACTCTTTAATTTATGCATGTTTTGTAATCGCCATTATCCTGACCTCTTACCATGTACCTAGTCTTTTAGCATTATTCAGATTTATTATTCATTATTGGCATTTCCTTATCATTTGAATAAATTTGTAGGTAAGGGATTGGGTCTTTTTTATTATTCTCTTCTTTAAAATACATTTTCATCTATTGGAATTTTCTACCTGATTATTATGGGTACTCATCAGTGTTTCTCATTCTTAGAAGTTCTTAGTTATGTGTGAATTAGAAACTCTACAAGTGTGTGGTTTCTGATACATAAATGACTCTTCTGCATGAATCAGAAAGAGGCAGCTCCTAGCCGGGCGGTGGTGGCGCACGCCTTTAATCCCAGCACTCAAGAGTCAGAGGCAGGCGGATCTCTGTGAGTTTGAGGCTAGCCTGGTCTACAGAGAAAGTTCCAGGACAGCCTCCAAAACAATACAGAGAAACCCTGTCTCGAAAAACCATAAAAAAGAGGCAGGTCCTGCAGAATGACATAGCCCCAGACCTTGGCACCTGATTTTGAAAACAAAGATTGGACATATTTTCCTGTTCTGTTCTTGGGCACCCTTGAACTTTACACAATTTATATATTAATGCATAGCAACCATTGATATGGTGCTTGTTTTTTCTAAAATAATTTATGATTAACTCATTGATTTTTTTTAATCTTCTTTCCTGGTTGACTAATAAATATTCATGCATTGCTGTATAAAGCAACAAATCTTAAATACCACGAAGTATTTGTTTTTCTCATAAGTTTTGAGTATATCATCATATACTTACACTTTTACTAGCTAAAGATAAAATTTCGTTATGGAAGCCCGGTGAAGGTGGTTTTCCATTCTTTTAATGCTACCTCTGACATTATCGAAACAATTCCGGAGCTTTGTAACAGCAAAAGGATTTTTTCATGACCTAAAACATCTGCTATCTCCTTTACTAGTCCTTGGGTGAGAAGCAGTATCAGTGCAAAGGGGTGCTTTGGAAAATGAAAGGAGCTGAGTGTGGTGGCTCATACCTTTGATCCCAGCAGAGACAGGCTAATGAGATGTCCTAGTGGGTAACCACACTTGCTGCCAAGTCTGATGACCTGAGTTAGAAGCGAAGGAGAGAAGTAACTCCTGCAAATTGTCCTCTGACCTCCATTTCCATGCTTTAGCATGTGCACATGTGTTTCTCTCTCTCTCTCTCTCTCTCTCTCTCTCTCTCTCTCTCTCTCTCTCTCTCTCTTTCACACGCACACACACACATGTGTGCACGCATGCATGAGAAGACACAGTAATGAACTGGTTTTATTAAACATTCTAAGAATTGCCCTCAATTCTCTAAAGATGTCAGAGACCTTCTGTAACAGTAGAGCTTGCCTTTAAAGAATAATGGATTCCTGAAAGCTCAAATGTTGCCAGGATGTCTAGAATTGTCACAATCTAAATATTTCAGGTTCTATCCCATGCTTTCTCTAGGCCGTTGCCCCACTGTAAAAGGGATCCATTTATATGGAGATTAAAGCAACATTTCTTCAGTCTTAAAAGATCAATAGGGGCCCAGCAAAACAACTTAGTGGATAAAGGTGTTTTCTATGCAAATACCATAACTTGAGATGGATCCCTGGAATGAAGGCGAGAATCAACTCCACAAAGTTTTCCTCTGACCTCTATGGGCACAATGGCAAGAATGCCCTATTTCTCTCTCTCTCTCTCTCTCTCTCTCTCTCTCTCTCTCTCTCTCTCTCTCTCTCTCTCTCTCTCTCTCTGTGTGTGTGTGTATGTGTGTATGTCTGTCTGTCTGTCTCTCTCACACACAATAAATAAAATTTAAAAAATGAATAGGCATTAGCTAGACCAAGGTACTTGGGTATATAGAGCATTCTATAAAGACATTCTTGATCAAAGGGACACAGGAAAAGATATGGTGAAACGCCTAGCAGGTTAGTGTTTCTGACACATGAATTATGAAGCAATGATGCTAAAATGATAACTATGTTGTAGGATACAGAAACAATAGAGATTAATATAGTGAGTAAAGGCACATGCTCTGCATTCTTTGAAAGTCAGCTTCACCATTATCAAGCTGTGTGATTTACTCTTACAAGTTTTTACTGAGTAAGGGGAGAAAGATTGCTTATTTCATAGAGTATATTTTGGCATAGAGTTAAATCATGTAACATACAGCATTCAATAAATATTGATAGTTCATACTATCATCGTTACTAATTCTTATATTGGTGCAATAGAAAAGTCATTCTGGGGGCTGGAGAGATGGCTCAGAGGTTACGAGCACTAACTGCTCTTCCAGAGGTCCTGAGTTCAATTCCCAGCAACCACATGGTGGCTCCCAACCATCTACAATTCAATCTGGTGCCCTCTTCTGGTATGTAGGCAGAACACTGTATATGTAATAAATAAGTAAATCTTTAAAAAAAGTCATTCTAGATTTTTTTATGATTTTTTTTATTCTTTTTTTTAAATTTAGATAAGAAACAAGGTTGCTTCACAAGTCAGTTCCAGGTCCCTCTCCTTTTCCCTCCCCTCCTCCCGTGCCCTCCCCCCATCCCCCCCCAACCCCCCGTTATCCCCTCATTCCCCCAGGGAGGGTGAGGCCCTCCATGGGGGTGTCCATAGTCTGTCATTTCATATAGGGCAGGGCCTAGACCCTTCCCCAAGAGTTCAGGGTGAGAGTGCACCTCACATTGTTCTATGGGAGTCCAAAGTCCGTGTGTCATTCTAGATTCTTGTATGAACAATATTTTCTCACTAACTAGTGTCAGAAAATAAGAAAGCATAGAAAGTTAGTGCTCTGTAGTAGTTGCCATGGTCATTTGTTGGAACCTTTGTTTTGTTGTTGTTGTTTTGGTTTTTTATTCTTAATTTTTTTTTATTTTTACTTTTTTGGTTTTTTCGAGACAGGGTTTCTCTGTGGCTTTGGAGGCTGTCCTGGAACTTACTTGGTAGTCTAGGCTGGTCTTGAACTCACAGAGATCCGCCTGCCTCTGCCTCTCGAGTGCTGGGATTAAAGGCGTGCGCCACCAACGCCCGGCCGTTGTTTTGGTTTTTTGAGACAGGGTTTCTCTGTGACATTGGAGGCTGCCTGGAACCAGCTCTTGTAGACCAGGCTGGTCTTGAACTCACAGAGATCTGCCTGCCTCTGCCCCCCCCCAAGTGCTGGGATTAAAGGCTTGTGCCACCACCGCCTGGCTTGTGACATAGTCCTATATAACAGTTTTAGTGGAATCATATACTTTATAGGTTTTTTTTTGGTTTTACGAGACAGGGTTTCTCTTTATTGTTTTGGAGGCTGTTGGGCCAGCCGACCTGCCTGCCTCTGCCTCGAGAGTGCTGGGATTAAAGGCGTGCGCCACCACTGCCAGGCTCTTTATAGGTTTTCTGGGACTGGCTAAATAGCACCTTCCTGATTTTTCTTCTTGCAAATTTCCTTAACTTGAAATTTCCTTAACTCAAACCTACATGAAAGGCAAGTTCTCACATGATGTAACAAACATTTGATGGTGCAGTGTTTAAAGTATAGCTTAGAAGCCTAGCCTAGGAAGACAAGCTGGAGAAGTAGAAGTGAGCTGATTCTCAGAAGAAGACTGAAAATAGCATGAGTGTGAGTCTAGGGCAGTCATCTCGTAGGTTCAGTTATATTCTACAACTCAGTTTTGTGCCTATTTTACATAATACATTGAATGAGATCAGCAGGCCATGCTATTGTGAAAGGCTAAGAAAGGACTATGGATCCAGCTGTCTTATATTTATCTAGGTATACAGTTCCAAATATTCTATAAATGTCAGTTCCCCTATCTGTGACATAAGGTTAATGATATGCACCCTGTTATCTTACAGAGCTATCAAATCACCTTTTGTGATCAATAGTGAGAAAACACTTGGAAAATTTGGTTTGCATTTTTTCCTGCTAAAATGATCTTCTCAGTTACTGTTTTGAGCTGTGCTCCACAAAGCTGAGGCTTCTCTGAGCCAGACTTCTGATCAGTGAAGTAGTGTCCTTGTTCAAGCACTTCCAGCAGCCCTACGGATAGAGTGCACTACAGCTTGGTTTAAATAGTGCCCTAGCCAAAAAAAAAAGGTTTACAAAGTGCCAGAGTGACTTTTATCAGTGTGGAAGTTTTTCTTCGTCTCTCTCTTTCAAGTAAAGATGGATGTAAAGCTAAAAGATCGGGACTTCTGGTACAGTCTTCATGGTCAAGTCCCGGGGATGCTAGAATGGGACATGGGGAATGAATTTTTCCTGCCTTGTACCACAGATCAGTGCCCTTTGGCTGAGCAAAGCCTTGCCAAATACAAAATTCAGCTACTAAAGCCACCAGCACTGTCTCAGGAGAGGAAAGCCAGTACTGATGAAGAAGACCCTCTCATTGAACCCAGCTTGTGGATGTGGGTGAATCCCAACATTGTGTGCCCCATCAGCAGCAAAGAGGCTCCAAATCCCAGTGACAACGTTCAGCCAAGTGCACCAGTCCCAAAGACGGATGAGTCTGCCTTCTTAGGGCCTCAGAGAGTGATGCAATCCCTGTCTGTTCTCCAAACTGAGCATTTTCAGCCACAAAAGATGTTCTCCAGTGACCCTGATTTCATAGACGAGGAGACTGAGGGACAGGGATGCACATCGTCTAACAAACACCCCAAGAAGCATACAATGTACCATGGCCCACACCAGGACAGGAAGTCCTGGCCACGCCCTCCTCTCAGCTACAGCCATCTAGTTGCTCTGGCATTAAAAAGCAGCCCTTCCTGTGGCCTCAATGTGCAGCAGATCTACAATTTTACTCGACAACATTTCCCCTATTTCCGGACAGCACCAGAAGGCTGGAAAAACACCATTCGCCACAATCTCTGCTCCCTGACCTGCTTTGAAAAGGTGCCAGTCGACGTGGAGGAACACCTGGATGACAAGCCTCGCTCTTTCATCTGGAAGCTCACTGATGAGGGACACCGCTTCTTTCAGGAGGATACCCGTGTCTTGGCCTGTGTTCGAAAGGAGAGCATCAAGAAGTGCATGCGCCAACCAGAGCTGATAGACCTCCTCTTCCAACTTTAATGTTTTCTTCGTGTGTGTGTGTGTGTGTGTGTGTGTGTGTGTGTGTGTGTGTGTGTGTGTGGTATATGGAAATGTGTGTGTGCATGCTTTGTGTGTGGGGGCACATGTGTGTGAAAGCCCAAGGTTAACATTAAGAATTTTCCTCCATTGCTCTTTCACCTTATTCTTCGTGGCAGGGTCTTTCAGTCAAACCCAGAGCTTATAGATACTGTTAGTCTTACTAGCCAGCTTGCTAGGATCCCATCTCTGCTTTCTAAGGCTGAGATTGTAGACAGCTCCTCATGCCCACTCAGTTTGGCTCTGGGGATCTGAACACAGGCCCTCTTGCTTGCATGGCAAGCACTTTTAACTGCTAGGCCATCTCCCCAGCCTCCTTTTTCATTTTTGAAGTCCAATTGCTCACTTTCTGGAACACTGCCCTGCTTACTGTACCGGACTAACCTTTACTCATTTGTAACCCTACCCTGTTTGATTAGTTCCAAGTCTGTCTCTAGCCACTGTTAAGTAGTCAGAGGTGACTGCAGACAAGGCAGAGCTGAAATCCCGATGTAGAATGGTGGAAAGTTCCACGACAGCTGCAATTGCTCTACACTTTGAGCAGAGACAGAAAGTCAAGCTAAGGATAGAAGAGCATGCTATGTTTATTGGAGTAAACTGTGAAATGTAAAAGACAAATACAAAATAAACCCAGGCTATGGGAACCTTGGGTGCCATCTGAAGATATATGTGCATAAAGAGAACTAGACTTGGTGTTTGAAGTGTGGAGACTTAAATGTCCCCCTCTGCCATTCATCTATTGTATCTTCTTCTTGTGGAGTGACCTATTTTATCCATCCGAGCTTCACTTCTCTCATTCTAGTCCTAGACTTAACAGCTTTGTTCTCTTGACCTCCAGCTCCGGTAGTGACAAGTGCAGGCAGCTGTTGTTTTTTTGAATATTGACAGTCCTTAAATTGCTTCTGTATTAACTTAAGCTTTTTGATGACGATGTATGGGTGCTCATTTGTGCTTTTTGTCAAGCTTCATTTGAGGAAATGTAAGATCCATCTTAGGTGTTAAAGATAAAAAGCAAACACATATTTGTGAGGCCTAGATAATTTATGTGTAATTAAATAGAGGTGCGAAGTTGCCATGGAAACAGGGAGACATCCTTCCTGGAAACAGGAAAGCATTAAAAATGAAGTGCCTTTTGAGTTAGTTTTGAAGAATAAACGGAAATTTGCTGAGCACATATACTGAAGAAGAAGAATATTATAGGGACAACAATGTAAATAGCTTTAACCAGGTGTTTGTTTGGCAAATTCTAAGAACATAGATACACTACCATCTGGAGCCACTGTATTTAAGGGAACCAAACAGCTTATAAGTTGTACTTTGATGTGTAAGGCTCTACAAAACTAAGGATATAATTTGTACATTGCTAAAAAGCACAAACAAAATATCAACATAACAAATATTTCATTCTTTGGCTTTCTAATTTTAAAACTCATTTTTGTAGGTACTAAGTTCATGAAACTCAGTTGTTTTGACCTTTGTGTTAATGAATTTTTAAGTATATGCCAGCATCTATAAAAACAGCTTTAAAATATGCATTTCATTGTCAAGTATTTGAAGAGAATATAAAAGTGTCTATACAATACAAAAGCAGCTAATTTAACATGACTATCAGAAGGGAGACTTTACATTTTAATGACTTACTACAGTAGACACAAAACTGTTTAGGTTTAATTGGAAAGGCTGCATAATCAAACAAAATTATTTCTGAAGGTAATTGTATCATAGCTACTTTGAAAATGTTGACAGAACACTCTGGAATTAATAAAAAATTTCTAACTAAAGGAGTTGATGTTTGTTTCTTGGTTTCCACAAAATTAATACTTCCAAGTGAAAGATGCTGGACTCAGAAGCCTTTTCCTTGTAAGTGTGGTCCTAATGCAGCTATTCTGTACTTTTCACAGATGACGTTCATTTAGGTCTTTAAAACGGCCTGGTCTCATGAAATTAAATGACTTTAGTTCTCAAATATGATGTAGCAGTTGAAACCTTGACAATGTAACAACTGTCCAATTATATCCAGGTAACAATGAGGAGAGACTCTTGTTGCCTTTTCGTATACCAATAGTTACCTGACCATTTGCATAATTATATTCAGTAAGCATTTCCAAATTCTGGAGGAGTGAGACAAACAAATTTAACGGTTTTAACTTTGAAAACCAAGATGGATGAATTACAATACTCAGTTGACTTCTCCCTCCATAAAGAGAAAAAGATCAATAGCTGCATTTTGAGATGAATGACTATGGCAAAAGTGAACAAGAGGATGGTATGACTTCTAGTATTCATAGATCTAAGATCATAGAAAGAAAAACAACACATCCTTGTATATGTTACTCTAGCTTCGCAGCTGTAGGAAGTGGATTCTTCCCTTTGCAGGGAAGAGGTGGACTCCCAGTTAACTCCCCAGTGTGGATGCTGGTGATTCAAACTACTAGAATGTGTCACAGTCCACCTTTATAAATAATGTGAAAAATACACAGTAACCTTGCTTTGGGAAAGGAACTTACATCATCTCCCAGTGAACCACCAGGGTGCTGGAGCCAGAAGTTATCTCAACAAGGGGCTATTGTGTGAACTGGCTATTTAATGGGTCAGAAATTCCTGCATTCTCCCCCTCTGTGGGAACCCATAGAACCTATTGCACTGGTTAGGGGATTAACTGCCTAAACCCAATCTGTCAATTAGAGTGCCTCTGAACCAAGCCCATTTAGCGCCCCTGCATTGTAGGATACATGTGATGTAACACAGCAGGCATTGCACATATCACCTTCTTAAACCAGGAGATCAGGTTTGCCCTGTAACACCAGGGCATGTAGACCCATGCAATGGCCAGGTTGCTTTTTTGTAATTACTTGAGAAGTAGCATTTGGGTTGCTTTGTTTTGTTAATTTGAGCATTTTCTTCTTAATGTAGGCATTTTTCCCTTTTTGAGGGGGAGGGGTTCGAGACAGAGTTTCTCAATGTAGCCTTGGCTGTCCTGGAACTCACTCTGTAGACCAGGCTGGTCTTGAACACCCACACCGGAGTGTTCAGCGCTTACAGATATGTAAAATCACTCCCCACAGAGATCTCTCTGTCCAGTGGCATTTTTCCTATAAACATCATTTTGTTTTTTCCTGTAATTTCTTCTTTGTTCACTGGATATTCATGAGTACATTGTTTAATTTTCATACATTTATGGATTTTTACAACCTTCATTCTGTTCATTTCTGGTGTCATATCAGTGGTCAGAAAAGAAACAATACAATCACAATCTTCTCTAAATTTCTTATATCTTGTGACATAATATAACTCTATCCTGGAGCAATTTTCCAAGTCGAGTTGAGAAAATATCTATTGTGCTATTTTGTGAAATACTCTAGATATATTTATCAAGTCCATTTGGTAGAAAGTGTATTTCAAGTCTTACTTATTTTGTTTGGATGATCTGTTTGTTTTGTAAAGTGTGGTATTGAAATTCCATTTTAATGTACTACAGCCTGTCTTTTGCCTTAGAGTCATTAATATTTGTTTCATCTATCTGAGTAATACTGTGTTGGATACATGTGATCTTAAAACTGTTGTATATTCTTTAGGAGTTGACACCTCTATTATGATACAATGACCATTATGTCTCAGACTTCAAGTTCAGTTTACCCGATACTAGTATAGCACTATTCTGTTTGCCTACTAAACTTAAATAGGAAATTGATTAGTCTTCTATTCTTCAAATATTTGTGTAAGTTGCTTTTCTATTTATTTGATAAAATACAAGGATCAAGACACCTTAGAGAAAGAAGAGTTGATTTGGTTTAATGTTCTAGGGGATAAGACTTCATTATAGCAAGGAATCGTGATAGCAAACAGCAGGCTTGATGACTGGAGAAGGATGCTGAGAGCTCACATCTTGAACCACAAGCATGAGGCAGAGAAAGGAACTGGAAATGGTTCAGGTTTTTAAACTCTCAAAGGCTGCTCCCAGTGACATTCTTCCTTCAACAAGGCCATGGCTCCTCAGATTTCCCAAAAAAACCACCAATTGGGGAACAAATGCATGAGCCTATGGGGGACAATGTTATTCAAACCATCACACTATTTCACTTAAAAGCAATCCCAATTTAACTCTTTTCCCACTAGGCCTTTTTACAAAACCAAATCTGTGAATTATTTACATTGTTCCTTATCCACACCAGCTGCTTTGGGCGTGGCTAGAAGTACAGATATCTAAGATCTCTTCCTACAAGCATCCACTGAATATATGAAGATGAGTGTTTCTAGCTTCCTGGACTCAGCCTTCAAAAGCCCTGGAAGAAGGTTCAGAGATCACACACAGTTCTGCCTTATAAACATCTCCACTAAGGTTGTTGATTACATCTAGAGCAAAAATCACCCCCTAAAACTAATCTATTTATGAGGGTCATAATATCTTCCTATTTCCAACCTTAATTGTTCTTCCAATACTGAACAGAAATCCTTGTGCCATGTTTCTTTATGTTGTTCATTCACTTATTCCTCAAATGGTTAACATCTAATTTCCGTAAGTCTCATCTGCATTCATTTTCAGAAAATGACCTTGCTTCTACAACACTGTTAATGGACTACAACAGAAAGGAGGTTCCTCATATATATGACCTGTCACCAATTTTTTTTTCAGTTTGATTGATGTCCATGCCTATTGTTGTCTCCTTTAATACTTGGATTCATAGTTTTGTCTTCTATCTATAGAGAATTTTCCTAGCTTTGCTCTGACTTCCTCTCCTTTGCCCCTCCAAAAATTTTGTGACAATTATTTCCTCCTTTTTCATTGGCTTTACTCCCTAAAAATGATTACGCATTCTCATCCTCAAAACACGTGAAGGTATTTTGGGTGCTAAAGAACTGATTATCTGTCATACCTTTTCCTACTTTCTGTTACTAACCAGATTTTTTTCATTTTAATATATTTGTTCCCAGCTTTATAAAAAGTACTCAGTGAATACCAAGTATATACCCACATTCTGGTCTGTGAACCTAGTATATAGCAGAACATTTTTTTAAAGCAAGTGCTTGTCTCCATAGAATTTCAATAGAAATTCTGTACTCACAGGCAATAAAAAAGATTATTAATATGCCAAGAGATTCTGGGCAACTAAGGAATGTTCTAATACCAAATGGTCAGCTCTGAAATCATACATATAAATGAGATTATACAAGCTGAGCAGGTAATATTTAGGAATATATGTGTGCATATAAAAACAATAAGTGAAAAAGGAAGTCATGAATTTGAAAGAGCATGGAGGGTTATATGAGAGGGTTTGGAGGGAGGGAAGGGAAAGGAGAAATGATGTAATTATAGTATAATCTCAACAGTAAAAGAAAAAAGAAATATTATGAAGTAAAGGGCATATGATAGAAAGTAACTACTAGAGGTACAAAGGATTATCCTGCTCTAATAGGATGTGGGTCCAGAAGACCTCAAGAGGACATTACCTGTGAGCTGAGATAGCTGAGGCCATTGCAAAAGCAGAGGGAATGGCATTCCAAACTGAGACTGGCAAATTCCATCTTTTAAAGGAACATCAACTTACGTAGCTCCTTTTTCTAGCCTGTTTCCTCGAGGTGACATTTAAGGTTGTTCAAAGGATAAGAAACTCTTAGGCCACTGAGGCTGGAACTTGCTGACCTAGACCTGAGGAGAAGAGATGACAGAGATGATTGACAATTCACTTACGATAGGCCAGAAATGAGAAGGCATTAAAAAGTGTTTAGCCAAAGAGTAGCAGGATCTGTTTAACCTTTAAAAAGATAACTTTTGGACTTTTGGCACAGGATGGGGGTAAGTGATGGCTCAGCAGGCATAGGTGCTTTTGGTTAAGCCCGAAGACCTGAGTTCAATCCATGTGAGAGTACTAACATCTAAAAGTTGTTCTCTGACTTCCAGAGGCACACATGCCGCCCCCAGAAAAAGAAAAAAAATTAAAAATCAATTTTCTGCATGATACCCTTTATAATGAGTGCAAAATGTCAGAAATACAGACAAATACATTTGTGTTTTTCATAATTTATTGAACAGCAATACATTTATAAGGTTTCAGTGGCAGCAGTGGCAGATAATCCTTCCTATTCTGGAAATCTGGCTTAGGTAAATGTAAGATCCTTTTTGTTTTCCCAAACTTAATTAGTAAGATTCATTCTCTGTCACAAAGCACACATTAAATACATCTGTATATCTATATGTATATATGGTTTACAGAATGAATACAAGGCATAAAGGCTGTAGTGGAGCTCAAAAGCTTTCATAAGTAGATTGGGATAGTGACTTCCTTAATAACATAATAATATAGACCTGTACCAGAGGGACCTGCTGCTGGAGATGCTGGAATCAGGGCTGGAGAACAAGGATACGGACTCTACCTGTGAAGTAAAAGGCCATGTTAGAGTCTATAAACAGGAAAAGTGAATTTCTGTTCTGAGGGGCAGACAAACAGTTGGACAGATAGATGACAGTAGAGTAAGCTATATCAATAGCAGCATTCCAAACAGTTTCGACTCCTGATACAGTTGTGGAATCCTCAGTCCTCCACTTACTGATCCTAGATGCACTCACATGTATCAGATAATAGGCTGGTGTGTGACTGTGCCATCACAGTGTTAGGTGTCCACTCTATGTGGTCCATGAGCGGAAATCATAGCCATATGGTCTGATATGTCTGATGAGTTCTTGGGCATGATTTCTCTGATAGGATTTTATTTATTTATTATGTTTACAGTATTTTGCCTGCATGTATGCCTGCATGCCACATGAGGGCACCAGATCTCATTATAGATGGTTGTGAGCCACCATGTGGTTGCTGGGAATTGAACTCAGGACCTCTGGAAGAGCAGCCAGTGCTCTTAACCTCTGAGCAATATCTCCAACCCCCTGATAGGATTTTATGATCTCAGTTTACCCCAATAAATTTATAGGGTACCTCCTTTTCTAGTCCCAGGAATAAGTTATTTATTAGTCTGAGTTCAATGAGTAGTGCCTAACTGATGGTATACATTGTAAATATACATAGGACAGCTGCTTGGAAAACCATTATTGTATGCAAGACAGAGTAACTTAAAGTGGGACATATAGCCTGGTATCAATACTCTACAAAAGGGCAAGGACAGAAACTAAATCAAGTACCAACAAATATATTACTCAGCTGGGCATGGTGACACATCTCTCTAGTTCCAGCTACTTGGAGGGCAGAGGCAGGAAGGTGGCTTCAAAATCAGCTTGGACAATACAATGAGACCCTGTATCAAAAACAAAAACAGCCCAGTTAATTTTAACGTGTTAATTTTAACACTAGAAAAACTAAGGACAATATAATACAACAGGTGGAAGAACAGCTAATAAGAAATATATTCCACCACATTTCAAGTGGAAGTTAAAAGTTATTTTCTAATAAGTAGTTATTTAATAAACACAGGTTTACATGTAAAACGCTATTAAGATTACACTAGAGGTAAAACTGAAAAAGCAACAAGATTATCAAAGGGATAACCTAAATTCACATACACACACAATACAAGCAAAGAAGAAAACAAAAGGAAAAGGTATGCCACAGGTATTTTTTTAAAAACTGACACTAGCAAAGGCAAAAATATAGTAAGAGAGTGAAGCAAAAAAAAATGCCTATCAAATGTATTAAACCTGCTGTCTGGAACAATGTGTTACGTGTATATAATAGACATTCAGAAAACATGCACTGACTTAATTAGTAATGTAGCAAAACTGAAAACTAAAGGACAGAATCAACTACCAAGGAAATGCCAATCAGCATAAAACAAGAACATCTCCTTGGACCAGTGTCTGTTCAAGAATATGCTGTTTACTTTCCATAATTTTAAATACATTCCAGTGTTTCCTCTGACATTTATTTATAATATTATTACATTGTGATCAGAAAAGCTTCTTAATGATTTTTTAAAAGAATCTTTTGTAGGACATAGTCAAACAGTCAAACATATAGTCTACCTTTGGTCACATGTTCTAGTCAAGTAAGAAAATGAACACTTCTGTCTTTGTTGGGTAGAATATGCTGCATAGTTTTGTTAGGCCCAAGTGGTCTACGGTTTCTCTCAAGTTCATTTTCTTATACACCTTCTACATGATTGCTTAATCTGCTTTTAAAACAAAGTATTTAAGTCTATAATTGCTATTTATTTGGACTTTCATAGCTTGAATTCAAAGTTTGAGTTTTAGGTTTGATTTAATGTCATTTTAATCAGCTATTAGTGTGGTCATCGCAGCTTAGTTTTGGCTATTTACATGGAATATGTTTTACTATCTATATTCCTTTGATCTACATGTATTTTTATGTCTAAAGGGAGTTGTAGATGGCATACAGTTATATCCTATTTGTTTGTTTGTTTGTTTGTTTTGGTCATTGCTGGGTCCCGATTTTGACAGCTGATGTTTGATAGCTGATGTTTGATGGGAGGAGGCAGTCAATTTGCTAGTGAAGACAGGGTAATCACAATAGAGTTATTTTCATGAGGCATGGAAGTTGTGGAGAGAAGGGACCATACAGGACCTCAGCTAGGGTTGGTGGGAGCAGACAACACTTTTGCTTCCTTGTCTTCCTTCCTTCCTTTCTTCTTTTGGATTTTAATTTTTTCTTTCTTTCTTCCCTCCTTTCTTTCTTTCTTTTTCGAGACAGGGTTTCTCTTCGAGACAGGGTTTCTCTGTGTAGTTTTGTAAACAAGGCTGGCCTCGCACAGAGATCCACCTGCTTCTGTCTCCAAGTGTTGGGATTAAAGGAGTCCTTTAATGTCTGGCTTATTTCTTTGTTTCCTTTTCTTATCAAACTAATGTGTACATGCATACAATGCATATGTGTTATATATAATTTGTATATAATGCATAAGGGTTTAAAGATGAAAAAAACTAACAATCCCTTAATGTCACATCTTACTCTCTTCTCTCAGTTCTCCAAAGTTATCCTTTGGATTCTTTTTGTTTTGTTGAGACAGGGTTTACCCTGCATAGCTTTGGAGCTTGTTCTGTTCTTGAATTTACAGAGATCCACCTGCCTCTGCTTCCCAAGTGCTGGGATTAAAGGCATGTGCCACCACTGCCCAGCAAGTCTTGGGGTTCTTAAAGGCATCTTGTTTCTGGCAGTCTCTGTACTCGAATATAGTAAGCATGGTCCATTAATAGTTTTATACTTTCCTAACTTCTTATGAGAATATAGTCTCTTATGAGAATTTTTCCACACCAAATTCTGTATGAACAAACATTACACATTAATCAGAAATTTTAAAAATACATTTGCAAAATTTTTAATGCATTCATGTTTTGCTTGCATGTATGTCTGTGTGAGAGTGTCAGATCCTCTGGACCTGGAGTTACAGTTGTGAACTGCTATGTGGGTGCTGGGAATTGAACCTCGGTCCTCTGGAAGAGCAGACAGTGCTTTTAACCACTGACCCATCTCTCCAGCCTCACATTTGCACATTTTTTAAAAATTAAGTGGTGAATGTGTTAAACCCTTTGTGTTTCTGGTCCTGGCAATAACAAACTTATTGAGAGTTTTGTATGTGAAAAACAGTTTAAAGCACTTTAGAGGTAGTAATTTTTTTTAAATTATAAGAACTGCCATAAGGGATAACGGGAGGAAAAGTTACCACAACAGCCTTTTCTGCACACACCCCTAAGCATAAGCAGCAGTGAGAACAGGTAGCTTGCAGGTACTGAAATTGCAACCTTCTCCTTTAACGGGGAGCAGCGGGTGGGCGGGGCCACGTCTGCCAGCCTCCAGTTTCCCAGTGCCTGCGGGGCGCCTTAAGGGCCTATGGCGCGGAAATGAGAGCTCGGGCCACGTGACTGCGGGCGGCACTCTGGCTTTCCTAGAGCAGTCTCTATGGTATTCTTCCCGGCTTCCCCCCCCCCCTTCAGCCCCCCAGGGTAGCTGCACGTGACAGGCTGGGACTACGGCAGGTTCCCACGTGATCCTGGCCTGCAGTAGCGTGGCTGCAGTGAGGCTCCTGCGCTCCTGAAGGGCGGGCGAGGAAGTAAAGACGGCCTCAGGCGGATTCTTCCAGGCGGCGACCGCTTTGCTTCTGCAGCTCGGGTCAGCTCATTCCGTTACCCCAGCCTCGGCGGGCTGCAGAGAGGAGGACCAAATTATCTCTGGGTCTTGAGACCTTGGGGAGCGGGGGCCCAAACTCGGGACCAACTCCTCATCCACCTTGCCCTCCCTCTCCTGCATCTTTTCCTTTGCACGCACCGAATCGCCTGTGCCTCTGGGCTGGCCTGCGCGGCCGTGCCTGGAGACTTAAGTTCGGGTCGGCAAAGGTAACTGTGGGAAAAGCGGCCCCCCAGTGGACAAAGGCGGAGGCAGGGATAGAGCAGGCCCCGCGGGCTGCGGGCGGTGTGCATAGGCAGTTGAGGAGGTGAGCCAGAAGAAAAGAGTACTGCGGATTTAGAAGGCACCGCGAAGGACTTGTTGCGCGATGGAAGAATCTGACTCCGAGAAAAAGACGGAGAAAGAGAATCTGGGCCCCACAGTGGAGGCTCCACTCGGGGAACCGGAAGGATCGCTTGGGTGGGTGAAGGGTATTATGCAGTACCTAGGAGGGAGGGTGTGCTAATTGTAAAGAGTATTGTGAAATGCAACAACCCCTAATCTCCAGTGATGAATTGCTTTAATTTACCAGGGTGGTTGATTTGTAGCATGCCCTTGATGATAGAAAACAAAAACAGAACAGAAACAGCCCTTTGCCTGAGCTGAGATTTCTGGTTTGTGCGTAGTGTTCTAATTGAGATACTTCTGAGTTGTTTTTGCGTTTTCTATAAAGATGATTTGGTGATATCACCGTGTTAGTGATAAAAAGACGGAGAGGGCAGACATTTACTGACCAATGGCGTATACTCCAATATGCCTGTTTCAGAACTGCGTTATATGTACTTGGTGCCTTTAATGAATGAAATGCAGCCTGGAAGGACGATTGAAGGTCCAAAGATGCTTCCAGATTTGAAAAATAAGGAGCTGAATTTTAAAAAATAGTACTCTAATATGAAAATATTCTGAATTATAAAAATGCTCAGGGTAACGCGTTATTTTTATGACAAAATATCAAATCTTGAATTTAAGTGGTTTATATTCCTAAATATGTCTTCCTGAGAAGCATCTCCCGAGCTCGCGAAGGAAGCAGGGAACATAAACCCAGTTTTATAATTTATGAAAATGAAGACTTCTGAAACGAGGTCTCATACGTAGTTAGCTGTTTTAAACAGTAATGTTCTCTTTCTCTCCGTTTACTTTTTTTTTTCTAAAGCAATTAGATCATGGAAACACTGTCTTTTGGTTTATATCTACAGGTGGACAATGCCAAATGCAGCCATGAAGAAAAAGGTAAGATGTGTTAGGTACATTAGAAACATGAAGAAAAAGGTAAGAAGTTACAGTTCAGGAAATCTGTCCTTTTCTGAACTATGGCAATAACCTATATGGCCTTTCAGACTCTCATCCCTTTATTTAATGGCAGATTCACTTTGTCTAAAATTAGTTTCATGGAGTCAAGCCATATACAAATATTACACAGACCTCTCTGCTCACATTGATTCTTGAACCCAAATAAAATGTTACATGGGTTGTGCTAGCTGGAGTTTGATGTTCTTTGCTTTGTACTTTTATGGGGACTTAGTGTCCCTAAGATATAGCTCTGAAGCAAATTTCCTGACTTTTGTGGGATTTAGCATCATTTGAAAAGTAGTTATAACCCTCATAAGACTATTAGGAACGTAACGTGAGGGAACTAACTCTAACCCTAATCCTAACCCTAACCTAACCCTGTACAGCTCAAACATAATTATCCTTGCCTTTTTATGAAAAGGTCTAATATTCTTAGCCTGACTTCATCCAAAATATAATTCTGTGCCTTAAGTTTGCTA